GTGAATGTTGAGATGTTATATTGGTTTCACTGGTAATAATAAATAATTGAAATGGGTATATATTTGTTTTTTGTTAAGTTGCCTAATAATTATGCACAGTAATAGTCACCTGCACACACAGATATCCCCCTAACATAGCTATAACTAAAACAAACTAAAAACTACTTCCAAAAATATTCAGCTTTGATATTAATGAGTTTTTTGGGTTCATTGAGAACATGGTTGTTGTTCAATAATAAAATGAATCCTCAAAAATACAACTTGCCTAATAATTCTGCACTCCCTGTACATCCTCTGGCAATAATGGTTGCGCATCACTCATTTCTTCCAACTGATGTGTAAATAACTCCTCTGACATACCAAGTGAAGCTGCTATGGTGCTAGTGTTGGTGGTGGCGGCAGGCGGGCAAGTGGTAACTTGAGAGGTGCCCGAAGCTAAGCTGGAGGAGGATGGTGCGTCAAGGTTCCGAGCAGAAGCTGTAGAAGATTGGGTGTCCTGTGTTAGCCAGTCAACTATGTCCTCAGAACTTTTCGAGTTCAGGGTACGTGGCCTCTGAACACTGGGCATTATTCTAGGGCCAAAGGGAATCACAGCACCAAGACCACGATGGCCCCTGCGGGGTGGCCTGCCTCTGCCAGTCATTTCTTTTTCGATGAGTGGTACTATGCGTGCAAGCTACTGTGACAACAGATATGAGTGGCACTGTGCAGTGGCAGAAGTTGGCAGAGTAGACGCCGTAGGCCTGACACACACGCTTGCAGACAACTAACTGCTATTCAATCTATTACAGTCAAATTTTTTTTTTTTTTTTTAAATGTACACTACTGTTACACCAGATATGAGTTGCACTGGTGTGACACTGTGCCCTGGCAGGCCCTGAAATGCACACATGTGAAGGAAACTGACTGCTATTATATTACAGTCCAAAAAGTTTTGGTTTTTTTAAATGCAAGCTATTGGGACACCAGTGAGTGAGTGGTGGCACTGGGCAAGTGGGCACAGTATATGCTGTGAGCCTGACACACAGGCTGGCAGGCAGGCAACTGCAATTACATTACACAGAAAAAAAAAGCAGATTGATGTTCTAGCCCTAAAAAGGGCTTTTTGGGGTGCTGTCCTTACAGCAGAGATCAGATGAGTCCTTCAGGACTGTAGTGGACACTGAATACACTAGCCTAGCTATCAATTTCCCTATCAAATCAGCAGCAGCTACACTGTCCCTCCTCTCACTAAGAATGCAGCTTCACAATGAATGTAAAATGGATGCTGTCTAGGAGGTGGGAGGGTCTGGGAGCGAGGGTCTGCTGCTGATTGGCTGGAATGTGTCTGCTGACTGTGAGGTACAGGGTCAAAGTTTACTCAATGATGACGAATAGAGGGTGGACCGAACAGCGCATATGTTCGCCATCCGTGGCGAACGCGAACAAGCGATCAAACGATTTTCGCCAGGAACTATTCGCCAGCGAACCGTTCGGGACATCACTAGTCAGGTTAGATTAAACAATAGAATGCCAGCATGCCTATGTGAGAATCTGCATTACAAACCAGAAATAACAGTTATAGAGACACTGGGTACTTAGTACCATAAATTGATAGGTAAGACGGAGAAGACATGTATTTCAATAGCCTGCACCCTGTTTGTGTCTCCCCGACATCCTAAAATGGCATCTGTCTACCTCTGACTTGCATGGCATGCGTCCACCGCTGAGGACCTGCCACAACCCTATCGCACTATCCCTAAGCCAGCTCAATGTGATATTCCATCGCTTCCGGTTGAAGCTGCAGTCACACGAGACAGCCAGCAAGCTCAGGCTTCAGCAGGTATACCGGAATAACAAACGCTTGAAGGCGGAGAGACCTACTCAGGGCATGACAAGCAAGCAACTACCTCAGACACCTCCTACACGCAAACCTGGGTCGAGAGCAACTCAAAGATTGTCAACCCTACATTGCTCACACAGGCGGAAGATTGCCCGGTGACTTCCACCCACATCCTCCGGCCTCCCTACGAAGAGGAAAAACTTGGACTCCACATGTCACAAAGTCTGTTGCATGCTGATGTTGGCCTTCACACAGGCCTGGGACTGGAGTGGCACTCCGTTCCAGAGAGAGGCCTACCATGGAAGAGAGGTGGCACTACCACTCACGGGCATTGGCTAAACTGGCTTCAAGGGCTATCCCTGACCAGATTCTACATCCAGTGCCTATGGGGGGGCTTGTATATTTGCCTCTCAACCTCATGCAATTATGATGGCTGATGGGAACAAGTACAATCTTGTAAGATGCACAGTAGATGCCTATGGCATCTTACAGCAGTGCTCCTCAACCCTCTCCTCAAGGTACACCTAACAGTCCAGGATTTAGGGATTACCAGGTGTGTCTAAGGTATAGACTCTAAAGTTCTTTTTCTAAACAACTTAGACACACACAGGTAATCCCCAAATCCTGGGCTGTGTTGAGGAGAGGGTTGAGGAGCACTGCCTTACAGCACAAGAGAAAGACTATCTGTGGAAGGTTCTGTGGTTTGCAGGATCTTCCATAGACTCAGTTTTTCACTTTTGCATATGCACAAGAGTCTAATAGTGATGACATCTCCTGGGAGATGAAGTTTCCAGAAGCCAAAGAAGTATAGTGGAGAAAAGATGACGTCACCAATAATTTAGGTTAAGTATGTCTCCCTAAATTCTCACTCCTCAGCCACCTCTACACAAGTAAACACGTTACTTTGTAGGGGTCTTTGCACAAAGAAATATGCAAAGACCCCTCAACTGGCAGTGTGCCACTTTAAGGAATGCCTGCCACATGTTTCTTTAAAGTCATAACAAGGAATCAATCTTTTGGGATAGGGTTTAGGGAAGTGCCAATGAACAGAAAGGTTATCTGAGAATCATCACCACATAGGGGGTTCTGAGCACCAAAAATTGTTATAAGGTGGCCAAAAGAGGTACTAAATAGGGAGAGTAGAACTCAGAACTGAACAGAGGTATATTCACAGATATTCCCGAGAAAGAGACGTTGCATTGGGCGAGGTAAGATGAGAAACAGAATCTAGGGGAACCAAAGTGGTAAAGGGATATACATGATCCATAATGTGACAACTGACAGAAAGGAAAAAAGGTCATGGTTGAGGGCAGTAAACTTTTTATTTAGTATTGAATTGGTTCTCGTTCACTTTAGTTAGCTCAGCTTCAGTGCGGTATTGTGGAAGTAGAACCAGATGGACAGTGATCCATTCAAGAATTAAATACTCAACCTGGAAAATATATTGTTGATCAGAATGAAGCTAGAATTCAAATTAACGTCAGACATTTATGTACTCACAGAACAAACTGACCTTTTGATTTGTTCTCAGTCTGTTAACGAATGAAAAATTAAAAATAGGAATATTCTATAATTTACAAGTGAATGAGCATCTCATCTCAAGGTATATAATGTAGAACCTAAACATAATTGATAAGGATCACTTAAAGAGACAGATATATGCTAAAACCAAAATATATTTTGGAGGTTTCAGGGCTGGATTGGAATGTGACAAACTGCTCTTACCCTAAAGTCATCAATAAACTGTTCATTCTTGAATGTTACCATTAACTGTTCTGTATATGTTTGATGGTGTTGAGATGATTGGGAGGTGTTCATATAGGTATTGACTATACTGAATTGAGGGGTACTTTTTTTTTGGTCAACAGTTATTAATAGTTACACTAAAGTAATAGAATGTAAAAATTGAGTTATTACTTTGCATTAATTTAAAATGTCATATCTTATTACTATTTAAAAAAAAATATTCATAGCTTTTGTGCATATTATTTTATATAAAAAAAATAAAAAAAAAATCTCCTTCTTTTAAGTGCATCTAAAGCACATCTTTGATCTATGGGAAAACATTCCCTGGTCAGAAAGCACAGACCATCTGACCAAAAACCATGCAGGTAGTCAAATGATAGTGTGTGTGTGTGTTCACACATCTGACCTCATAAGCAGGTACCCAACGTTTTCAAAAGTGCATTCTGGGACAGCTTCAGACATTTAAATTGTGCCACCCAAATGACCAAGATTAAGCCACGAGATGGACTGAAAACCTATTCATCTATTTGAATGTATTCATTACAAAAATAATAATACATATCAATGTTCTATTACATGTAATGTTTTATTGCTAGTAGTTATGAAAAATAAAGATGTTGGTTTTCTCAATACTTTACTAACTAAACTACTCGCTTTAACTGCACCAAATGCTACTTAACCTCTATTCACAAAAGGTTTGCTAAAATAATTTATCCACTGGACAAATTATTGCACAGCTCACCACCACACTTAGTATTTATATCATGCACTTTTCTCCTTTCCGTGCAATTAGTTAATTCTATCAGTATTAATCTTTTTAATACGTACAATTAAATCATGTCACGCACTATAGGTCAATTTCAGATCTTCCCAAGGAGAGAGTATTTTACTTTTACAATTAGACCAGACTGAGGATAGTCATTAACATAATGCATGAACATATAGAAGGTTACATGAAGGAGAATTGACAAATTAAAACTCATTTGTATAATATAAATATATGTAGGAATGCATATTTATCCACTTTGTATTCCAGTCTATTTCCTGCAGTTAATTTAATCCCCCATGTCCATTTCAGTTCTAAGTTTTTTTGACAGTTCAACCATCAATGTCCATTTTAATTTCACTCAAACTCTTCCTTTCTTATTATCTTCCTAACAAATAATCATGGTCCTTTCAGTTATCCCTCTTTACTGCCTTGCCTACTCTTATTCATCTGGATCACTGTTTTTTTTGACTTCACATTTTTATTTTTTAATATCTTTTCACATTCCTACTCTCCATTCAAATTACCTTTTTCCACTTTGCCTTATTCCATTTTCATGAACTCTCCACATATACATTCTGTTCCTGTTCTCACATCTTTCCACCCTCTAGACATTTTCATTCTCTCCATCTGATTATCCTTTCCAGTTCACATTTCTTCTCTTTTCACCACTCTCTTCCTTTTTCAGTTTGCTGATATTTCTTTCCTAAGTTTTTTCAGTTCTCTGTTTTCCCCATCTTTATTCCAAAAGACCTAATCCCATTAAAGTGTGTATCTACTAAAACCAAAACTGTATTCAGCCTATTACAATATAGGACGCTGCAAAAAGAAGAAAAGCACATACTGTTTATTATGAATTGATATAAATATGTACATCCTTTTCATGATATTAGATGAAATATTCTCAATTCCTTCTGCATATATTAAATAAATATAATAGAAAACTGATAAGGTAAACAATGTACTCAACTGAACAGCAAACTTGCGAATTGAAAGAAGTATCCAAAATCAGGTGACATGTATGTGCTGTTGAACTCAGTTCATCATTGTTTGTCACTTTGATTTAGACTCACTGTGTTCTAGAGTTCAGATTATGTTATACCCTCTGTGAATGACCAGTACTGCTATCATAGTCTGCCAGTTATGGTCACGGAAAGCCAGGGGATGACATCGCTTCCTACTGATGATGCTTTCTATATGTCAGCTATAGACGTGAGCTACTGAATATGTTCTTTATTATGACTTAAACACAAGATTTGATCCTGAGTCAAATCAAATATGGCAGCGGACTTAGTTATTGTAAGTCAATTGTTCCCTAAATCTGCAGGAATCTCAGACCACAGATGTGATCATGTCGAACCAATGGTAGTGGGGGGGTGGAGTGGGGAAAGGGCAGGGGGGGATTCAGAGCACACTCTTTATAGAAATCCTACACAGAGCAAGATCCCAGTACGATCTGCTGAGAAGATTTGGGGTATGTTCATATGTTCGGGATATGTTCACTCTAATAATAAATTAAGAAACCTTGCAAATGGATATATGGTAATTTTGGTGGTATGGCGTGGCAGAAAGATTGTGATAGCTATTTGCAACAATTGCTAGAAGACATTGAAAAGACATGAACATTTCATTGTGCATTTTAAATTTCTGAAAGGCTGGAAGGGTGTGGACATGTTCTGTATTGCCATTAATAGTAGCATGTCTGTAGCACGATAGATTATTTTACTTGTCATGATGAAACACTGGTTAGTATATGCATGAACAAACTTCAATCAAAAGATTTTCGTTTGTGATTTTGAATGTTTTGCTATTTTACTGTGTAATAGTTACACACTGCACAAGAACAAAATATAGTCTTGATCATATTAGCAGTGCATAAAAGTGTGATCTTTAAGATGCTAATACAATATTCGTACTGATTCAAGTTAGGTCATCCCCTGGATTTATTTTGAGGAAAGTGGAATTCCACGCTGCAGTCAAGAAAAGGGCCATTGAGGACAAAAATAATTATGCAAAGCCATTAAGCAGTTACTTTTTTAACATTAGTTGCTGCGTCTAGCTCCTTTTAGGCATCAAGTCAGGACAAGAAGCAGCAGCATTGACTGTAAAGTCTATTCATTTCCTCGACCCAACAATTATTGCCCAAATCAAAACTCTTCATGCGGAGCTCATTATAGGTCTGATGAGATTTCAGTTGATAATGTTAGTAATATTAACAGCAAGTTTATGGAACTTCTAGTGAAAAGGGTTTGCTTCTTCAACACACAAGTCATCAGTGTATGTCCAATGCATCATGCAAATGCAAAAGTAGCTGATATGTTAAGAAAAAAGGCTCCATTCGAGGGAAGTGGAGCACCGAATGTTAAATTAAGAGCAATGCATCGTTATCTTTTGGGTTTTTACATTTTGTTTTGATTTTTTTTTTTTTATATTAATTTTCTCCAGTTAGGAATTCCAGTTGAAACAGGAGTCAGAGGTGAATGATCTCAGTTGCAATCATAAACAAAATCGTAGTTGCTAGGCTCCTTAGGAATGGGGGGAGGCACATCAGGAATTTGTATGTTTTCCAGATCCAGAAGACGAAGTTTAATCTCCATGCTCAGCAATGTGTCCAAGTCATTTCTTGTTAGATCGCTAATCATATCTTTCCCAAGCAGGGCGTTTAAGCCATCAGTCCAGATACAGTACTGTGAAAAAAAAAAAAAAGAAACCATTGATCGATAAGAGTCCAGGTTAAAACATCTTTAATTATTGTCTATTAAAGGGATTCTCCATGCCCCAAAACAAATTATGCTCCTCACATAAGCTATGGTGCAAGGAGGTCCTCTGTCATTTGTATACCTGTCTTTTAGAACTGCGACAATATGAAAAACCACTCAAAGATGTTTATTGACATTAAAATATTATCTATACATATCAATAGTCACATTACTAGAACATTTATAGACAAAGCAAAAAAAGTTTTGCTTTTGTTTTTGAATTTTTGTAGCTGCACCTGAAGATTAGGTGTAGTTGTGAGAGCAGTAGTGATGTCCCGAACGGTTCGCCACGGACTCATCATTGAGTAAACTTTGACCCTGTACCTCACAGTCAACAGACACATTCCAGCCAATCAGCAGCAGACCCTCCCTCCCAGACCCTCCCACCTCCTGGACAGCATCCATTTTACATTCATTGTGAAGCTGCATTCTTAGTGAGCTGTCCAGGAGGTGGGAGGGTCTGGGAGGGAGGGTCTGCTGCTGATTGGCTGGAATATGTCTGCTGACTGTGAGGTACAGGGTCAGAGTTTACTCAATGATGAGTCCGTGGCGAACCGTTCGGGACATCACTAGAGAGCAGAAATAGTGACTCTAAGCAAGGCAGTGGTACCCCATGGGTAATAATAATTGCTTGCATACAACTAAACTCACACATCATTTTAAGGGTGTTTAATATGTTGGGTGACAAGAGAACAATCTTCAGTTACATACATCTTTTAACCTACATATTTGCTGGGAATTTCATCAACACATTATATACATTGCAAGTATGTCAACATTCCGTATGAATAGTGGAGGAAGGGTTTAAAGTCAAAATAACTAAATAATACAAAATGGAATGTCCTATTCTTTGCTTTTAATGCAAGTATGATTATATTTTTTTAAATGTCACAATCATCACTTTCAAAAGACGTACCTCGTGTTTGTCTGGAGCGATGAAATTTAATTGGCAGTTGGACTCATACATAATTGAAAATGCCAACTCAAGAACTTCCTAGAAGGGAGAGAAAACCAGTTGTAAGTCAAAACGTTTAGGGAAAAAAATACTTTAAAGGACAACTATCACTTATTCTGACTTTTATTATTAATTGGACTCTTCCCCTATATCTAAATATATATATATATATATATATATATATATATATATATATATATATATATATATATATATATATATATATATATATATATATATGTTTTTAAGGACTAAGAGATTAACCTATGTATACACACAGACCACCTATATTTACCTATAGCTTTTATCTGAGCACCTCCATTTTGTTTCCCTGTCAATCACTGCTAAATACTTTGCCCTTTGGACCTGTGACCATGGAAAGAGAAGTCACAGAAGGTTGAGGAGAAACAGATTTTTTTTCCCATTTCTCTTCCTCCAGAATAACTGAATTATAATGAAATGTGCTAAATCTTCAATAGATACATAAAAGGAAAATGGAACATATTGAAACAACAAAAATTTTCATCGGTTTATATGTTGGTGCTATTCCAGAGAAGGACGGTTTCCCTTTAAAATAAGAATATACTAATAATGCAGAAAAAAATTGAAATTATATATGTTTCTGCATTTACCGCTAGTTGTAATGTTCTAACCTCCTAACAAGTTGATAGAAAATTTCATAACTGCACCAACATATTCGCAATTTCACACGTCTCACATTAAAGATTCATGGTAATGTGTACCTTTAACAAGCTATTTTGAGCAAGGGTTATTTACCATGCACATTTGTATTCAGTATTTGTCATAGCAGAGCAATTTGATTCACTCTATTGATTCTCTGTAATGCAAAGTGCAAATAAGGAAAGTACGAGGAATGTTCAATTTTGTGACTTTTTTATCATACTGGTTATTTTTCAGTTGTAACTGTACTTACAACACAAGAGGGAACTTCACTAAGCAATATGAAGATCATCCACAAAGTTTTGTCAATTAAATAGAATGCAACCAGAATTACTAAGAATTTAGATATATAATGTCCACAATACATTTTATGGTAAAAATCAGAATGATCGCAGAAATTAAACAAGCAAAGTATTATGGTTGCTTGCAATTGTGTCTGTGTTTTGGGGAACAAACACAATTTGTTGTAGTAACAGTAATATATATATATATATATATATATATATATATATATATATACATATATATATATTTTGAAATGACGTGTCTGCTTTTTTATTTTATTTGAACAGATTTTTTTAATTTTTTTAATATAAAAATAATATAAAGAAACAGAGGAAGGAGAGAGAATGTACCCTGTTCAGATTCACACGCTTGTAATTCAAATAGAGAAACCATATGGAAAATGTGACATAATCCATTACTATAACAATGAAAATAAAATACTGTGGAGGGGGGACAGCGGGGGGAATGTATTGCAATAAAAACTACACATGTAGTTGAGAGACTAGAGAATAAAATTGGAGCAATATAGTAAAAAAAAGCAAGAAAAGCAACGAGGAAGGATGGAAAATAAAGCAGAACGGAAAAAAATGAAAGACACGAAAGGAAAAACCAAGAAAAAAAACATCTGAAACTCCCTGAAGAATAGAAGATCATAATGAGCTGGACTTCGTGCATTTTATATAAAAATGGAGCACGAATGTTAAGCAAGATAAGTAATTTTATCATTATCTTCAATATGCATCTCAGTTGGCCAGGAGTCTGCTATGTCTCTTTGAAGCAATAGGGATCTCCAACAGCGGGAACATAAAACGAGATGAAAAGTGGTCAAATGAAAGATGGAAATATATATATGTAATAAATCCAGAATATATTTAAGAATGTTCTGAGCGTGATTAATAAACAAGCCACTGCTTCCATCTTGGTAACTCAATTTTCTCTTCTTTTTTTAACAACCTTTTATTCATAGAAAATGTATCCAGAAAAAGTGCACTGTAAAATGGTTAAACCTATTTGATCAGTATCTAGATGAATTCTATTGGATTACTATGCAAACCAAACAGTTATAAAGGATATAAAAACTATTAGTTCCATTAGTGTTATGGATTCTGACATGTAAAGGGCTTACTGTGCAATTATCCTACTATGATGGCTTCAAGGCATCCGTAGATGTCATCTGTTAATTACAGACTTACTTAACGAAGTGACATAAATTGTGTCACTGGGAAGAAACATTTGGCTATGATGAATCACTACAGGAAAAGAGAATAACATTTCACTTAATACGAGGTGGAATATGATTCCTCTCACCTTGTTCTGTTTGCCTCCTTTTTCCTTCATGTGTGGGCAGTCCTTCCCAGTCACTATTGCTTTTATGTCTGCTATGGGCACTAAAACACAAAACAAACACAATTAAGGCAAAATAGTTTTAATGTACATTTTGCACCAATAATGCTTCTGTTCCTCTAGGTTAGATACCATACCATATAGAATACACATATCTATGTTTAGGGTTATAACATACAAGGTGTATAAGATGAGGCACAAAAGGAGAGGCTAATTTTAATTGGTAGTTTTGGCTACTCATTGAAGCTTGCTCTCCCCAAAAAAGAATAAATACCCAAATTCTCACTATAAATAGTGATTTAATTTTTAATTTTTTTTTTTTACACTTTGGGATTCTTCAACATTATTTGCACCTATAACTGTGATTTCAGATAAAGTTTTCTCAATAATGCCTAGCAGAATTCTAAAAAGACACAGTAAATAATCCCATCTTTGATAGTGATGCCAATAGACATACATTTTTTAATTTCTCTCAGTGCCAAGAGAGACTCCTGATTGCAGACGGATCCTTCTCCAGTGAGACTACGATTGATGATGTTTAACCAGATGCTTGTCATCATAGAGATGCATTAGACATGCAGTAATCCACATAAGTATGCTTTCAAACAAAAAATAGATTACATTATGGAAACTGTTTCAGTCCGGAACCCCTAGAGGCTGTCTCCCTGCCAAGTACTAGTAGGCGTGGAAACTGAAAAATTTAAGCATTTGCAAAGCTGCAGGGGCAGGATTTATGCCCCAACAAGTACTACATGAAGATGGGGTGATTTTGGTGCTTAGACTATCTCTTTTTACATCTTTACGTCTCTTACTGAAGGACTTTGCGTAAATTAATTTCTTTGAGCTGTGCCTTCATAAAATAGCGCATGATACGATAGACCAAAAATCTTAACCAAACTTGTACAGCTTAGTTATTTTGGCATGTGCTGTTTTAGAAGAAACTTTAAGAGCATGCACGCACAGCATTCTGGGAATAAGCTGGTATCTATGCAAGCATAAAGGTACAAGAATGAATCCTTAAAATAGACTAACATTATCTATAAAATGTGTTGGCAATTTGTCAAGCACTTTGCATACATGACATTTTATTGCATATAAAGTGCCACCATGTCAATCATTACATCATGCAGACTCTAAGAAGTGACTTTTATAGAGACTTGTAAAGTTTAGTCTGTAGGATAGGATTCAGTATAATTGAATGGTTGAACAAAAGTAAGAAACAGATAGCTCAATAAGTCCCATCTTAAAAAGCATATGTACTTTGCAGTCCTACAATGTGGAATATATGTGTTCAGGATTTACTACAAATGTATTTACATTCCATGTTTATCATTAAAGGAACACTATAGGCATCCAGACCACTTCAGCTCATTGCAGTGTTCCATGTCCCTTAACCCTACAGTGGTAATTATTGGAGTTTCTGAGAAACTGCAATAATTCCATCACAGGGTTAGCGCCACCTCTAGTGACTTCCAGGTGGTTAGGAGACCAAAAGTTGCCTAAATGATGCTGGACGTCCTCACGCTGTGCGTAAGGACATCCAGCATCAATCAAATCCCCGACATTAAAACAATACTTTCCTATAGGGAACCCTATAGCACGCCACTTGCCAGGCATGCACATTAGCACTCCGACGGCTGATGTCGGTGGGGGAGCGTGGGCAGAGCCTGATCCAGCGCTGTATTCAGGTAAATGACTGAAGGGGTTTTAACCCCTTCAGCGCCATGGGAGGGGGGCACTGTGGGAACCTATAGTGCCAGGAAAACGGTTTTGTTTTCCTGGCACTATAGTATCCCTTTAATCAAACATTGTCACCAGAATCAGGCATGGATTTTGGAGGTCGGTTATGAGAATGCTTCTCTTTAGCGAGATTGATAAAAGGAACAATCTGAGCACCATAAAGGCAGTTGTAGTGGTTATGGTGCCAGGAGTGTTCTGGCACCCTGCCAGAATACACAGTAAAATGGTTTCACAACATTACCCAGTTCCCAATGGACTATTACTGCCTTCTCTTGTGCTATGAGCTCATTTTTCCTTCCTAAACTCTGTAGCGTAGGGCCGGCTCATTGGCTCAGAACACTAGATGAACTCTCCTTGCATGGCTGGGATTAGGTCAGTGGCAGGAACGTCAGGCAGCAGGGGAGGCATAAAGCAGCTTTTGTGACTTAGTTGTCAACAGTTTGACAAGTTACTCTGTGAAGACATCAGGGCACATTTGGCACCATAAACACTACAGTGGTTTGTAGTAATTATGGTGTTGCAGTGGTCCTTTAACCTTATCACTATAGAGAAGTTATTGGCTGTGCAAAAAAGCTGCAGTGTCTCTATCAACTGAAGCTATTTGCCTGAGCATACACATGCTCGTATGGCATTTTTTTTTTTTGCGCCAGGGTAATCCCTGAGCATTATGGAGAAATACTGTCACTCTGAACAATTTAATGTGTTTTATTTATTTATTTTTTTGCTCATCACAACTGTGAATCAAACATGACAGTTCATCTTTAAATTATTCACTGAGACCATTTATAATAAACAAAACATCAGAACTAATTTGTGTAAGAGACCATTCTCCAGTTCCGTTTTCTAACTAATGACTTTATGTACCGCCCAATCTCCTTTATTTTGCTGAACACAAACAAGAGGATTAATTTTGCAGACAATGTGATCTTATTTATGTTTACAGTTTATGCCAAATCTCCTACTGTAATTACCATTAAGGAGATAATCCGCAGAATGTTTCCTGCTTTCATTCTGGAAATCTCAGACATTTAATAACTGTGAGAAGATTACACAGTGAAAGAACATTAAAGATAGCCTGTCTGTAATACATTGGAGAAGTGTGCAAGGTTTGTTTTATTCTAAAATGCTTTTGTTTTGGAACAATGCTTTCAGGTCACTGCACTGCAAAAGCATGCTCAAAATAAAGACATGAGCCCATTATAACAGTGATACAAATCTGTAATTATTTTTTCCTTCCAATTCCCATACGTTACAGTTCTATGGAACCAGGCCATTACATTTTAATATCAACTGGGTGACCAAAGTCACCTGGGGAGGATGCTATACCTCAATGACTTGTAGAATGGACACCAAAAAAAAAAACCCTTAAAGCGGACCTGTCTTTTTTTTTTTTTTTTGGTTTTCCTCTCCTTATGCTCCATGTATCTTAATAATAATACCCCCTCCAGCTTTTATTTATATTTATTATGCTTTTTTCCTTGTGCCAAATCTCAAAATCTGGGAGCAGCCATTTTGTCCCCCTCTGCCCATGATATCTGCAGTTGCCTTTTTGTGTGATTGATTTTTATTGATGGATTGTGGGTAAATTTGACTGGCAACAGAAACTGAACCTTTCTTTAAACTCCGCCCATTGTCAAGTTTTGTCAACCCGACTGCCATACATGAGGACAAGTAGTCCCTAATTGTATTAATGTGTTTACTAAAAACTAGAGAATTCAGGAAATAATAAACATAGATTTAGACACAGGGAGCTATATAGAAACAGATTAGATGAAGTTTATTTTTGAAGACTGTGCCGCTTTAAGCCTACTTGTGCATACAATAAAAATCAGCTTTGATTCTTTCAAAATGCTCAGGAAATGCTGCACAACATATTTTAGACTACAACATGGGAATGAAGTTAGATGAGCAATTCATATTTAACAATATATTTTTAAACTGGGTGTTAAATAATCTGTTCTTTACTGTCAGATTGTGGAGAAGGATAACTCTTTAGAAGGAAGGCTTATATTTTATAAGTTTGGCAGGCATTCCAATCCTTCAGACAAATTTAATCTTGCTGTTTCGAAATCGATAAAAGCATGTTAATGTGTTTTTTGAAGTGCCAATTTAAAGAAAAAGGTTCCCCGCCTCTTACGGATTTCTGTTCTTGTAGGGTACAGAATAAACACCATGGGTATTTATGATAACATGGCTTCCATTTAAAGTGTACCTGCCACTGTACAAAAAAAGCTAATATTAAAGAACATTAAAATACACCTCTACATTGACACCCACACCTGTCAACCAATACATGCTGTGAAAGAAAATGTGGAATGGTTGTTGAGGGAAGATACATTAGGCCTGATTTACTAAACGGCAGAATGAGGTTTCTCAATTAAATGCCCCAGGGAGAGATTTTAGGTTTGCAAGATACATTGTTGGTACTCTGCAAACCATGGTAAGGGTCCCTGGGGTGGAGCATTTGGAGAGCAGGGTGGGCCAATGCTCCAACAGCACTAGTTGCTATTTAACAGCCAGACCAGGACTTGTATGTGAACTAATTGATACTCACCTATAGCTGGTCAATTAGCAGGCAGGCTTTTAAAAGAAGGGATCAGCCTGCTGCAGAGTGAGGGAGAAAGAGCCATAGGAATGGTGTGTTTTGCAGCTATATTTTGCTATTGTAAATTGGTAAGTGGGAAAGCCACCCAATTCCAGATAGTAATTACTCTGTTTAGTAAGTGCTCAAACAAGAACAAGGAATTTTGTTTTGTTTATTTTATTTTGAAGTACCTATATATTTTGCACCAAATAAATCAGAAAAACTAAGCTGAATGTGTCCTGGACTTTGATTACTCTAGAAGGCTGTGGTTACCATAAGATCTGTGACAAAATCCTACCGGTAAAAGAGGTGGTTTGTTACAATGCCAAACACAGTTGCTAAAGGCATAGCAGTGTATACCAAGAAAGTCAGAGGAAGAACATGCCTACTGATGGTGGCCCACTTTACATTCACAGCACGTACACTGCTGTAGTTGCTTTGATTGTTGTTTTGTGATTGCAAGACTACAAACATCTCACACAATATTGCAACGTAGTAACAGGTGTGAAATGTCACTCTGTACACATTTTCGGTGTGATAAGGAAATGTTCCCTAGAATCTGTCAAGACATATTTACATTTATGGAACACCAACATTGTATAGTATACTCATATCAGCTAATCAAACATAATCTGCCATACTAGACACAGTTTTCATTGAATTTTTTCTTGCACTCTGCTACAATTTTACACTTTCCATATTATCAATGACCTTTTCAGACAGCCATTTTCTTTTTGGACACACTGTTTTGTCTCCTCCTTGGAGCAATACAGTACTATTTGTAACCGCAATTTACCTTTCTAAGGAATGAATTCAAGCTCACTGTAATGATTATGCAGAAGGAGAAGGAACACAGGCAACAGACCAAGTTATTGTTTTCCCTAGATCAGGGGTCAGCAACCTATGGCACGTGTGCAGAGCATTGGCATTTGAGGTGCATATGCAGTGCACTCAAGGTTGCCAGAGTCAAACAAGCTCTGGACTATCAGGAGTCCAGTACCTGGCCAGCCCGGTCCCCACTGGACCCCAGGAAAGCCACACACACTGCTAGATATATACAGAGATGCAGAATAAGTCTCCCCTATACAAATAATGCAAACAGCCCATCCACAGTTCCCACAAGCACACCACCACTGACAATCCACATACATGCACACAACTCCACAAGCAGACTCACATGTAATACCACAAGCATCCCAACACATAAACCAAACACACAATTTGACATATCAGCCACACAATTTCACAAGCATTCCCGATGCAAAGCGCACATTCATAAGTATCATACACAATATCACAAACTACTCATGAACATATACAATATAACAGCTCACATACAATGTTACAAAGCAACTGTAGCACCCATAAATAACACAAGCACAATTCAGCAACATACACAACTCAATAAAAAAAAAAAAAATAGGACAGGCACGCCAAGGGACTTCAAGATCGTGTTTTGGCACAGTACCAGTAAAAGGTTGCTTACCCCTACTCTATAGATACTGTAAACCAAGCATGTCAAACTCGCGGCCCACAATGAACAGCTTTGCAGGCCAGTGAGCACATGCCTAATGTTCCAAGCAGAGTAGGCACCTGTATTCCCCACATTGCAGGTACCTACTCTGCTATAATTTACCCGGCCAGGGTAATATATTCCATTATATTCCGGCGCCCGGCATCATTAAACTGTGTGCGAGTGAGCCATGAGGAGCAGGAAGAAGATCTCCAGACAGAAGACCCCACTGGAACCCAGGCATAATTATTATAATGTGTGTGTGTCTGTGTTTCAGTGAGTGTGTGTGTGTCTGTCAGTGAGTGTGTCTGTCAGGGAGTGAGTTTTTGTGTCAGTCTGTCAGTGAGTGTGTCTGTCTGTCAGTGTGTCTGACTGTCTGTCATTGAGTGTGGCTTTCAAAAGTGTGTGTGTGTGTGTGTCAGTGAGTGTGTCTGTGCATGTGCCTGTCAGTGTGTATGTGTGTGTCTGTCAGTGAGTGTGTGTGTGTGTCAGTCAGTGTTGCGATGGCCGTGCCTGGACAGTGGAGGACCCGTAGGTGCACGGAGGCACGCAACGCCACGTCACATTCCAACCTTCACGTGGTGTCAAGAAGTAGTGGGAGGATCTGCTTTGGCACAGGGTGCGGACAGCTCCATTTGGGATATACCAGACGCCGGGTTACGGAGTTGCATACTGACAGCGGCAATGTGAGTGGAGTCTGCTTGTTGGCTAGAGTGGGGGGACTGGGATTTAGTAAATGGGGGGTGCTGTGGTTTAGTAGAGGGGGATGCTGTTTTTTTTTTATACTGTACATTTCAAAATAAACCTAAGTTTCTATGAAAATTTCAGGTTTTCTTTTTTTGGGGCCCACATAAACTTAAACCTTGTTTATTTGGCCCTTGCTAGACTTTGGGTTTGACATGCTTTCTGTACACACTGAACACAAAACAAATATCTGCATTAAATGTCTTATTTATTTATTTGTTTAAGCACTAAAAAAGTGCTTAAGTCCTCAAGAATACATAAAAACATAGAATGTGACGGCAGATAAGAACCATTCGGCCCATCTAGTCTGCCCAATTTTCTAAATACTTTTATTAGTTCCTGGCCTTATGCCTATCCCACGCATGTTTAAACTCCTTTACTGTGTTAACCTTTACCACTTAAGCTGGAAGGCTATTCCATGCATCCACTACCCTCTCCGTAAAGTAATACTTCTTGATATTTTTAAACCTTTGTCCCTTTAATTTAAGACTTTGTCCTCTTGTTGTGATAGTTTTTCTTCTTTTAAATATAGTCATATACAAATACACATACATGTTAAGTTCCTTTAACCTTTCCTTGAAAGTTTTATCCTGCAATCCATTAACCAGTTTAGTAGCCCTTCTCTGAACTCCCTCTAAAGTATCAATATCCTTCTGGAGACACGGTCTCCAGTACTGCGTACAATACTCCAAGTGAGGACAACGGCATGAGCGTTTCCCTCTTTCTACTGCTAATCCATCTCCCTATACAACCAAGCATTCTGCTAGCATTTCCTGCTGCTCTATAACATTGTCTGCCTACCTTTAAGTTCCTTAAAGGTACTTTTAATCAGAAATAACTACCCCTAAATCCCTTTCCACAGATGTTGAGCTTGGGACTCTATCAAATATTCTGTACTCTGCCTGTGGGTTTTTATGTCAAAGATGCATTATCTTGCACTTATCCACATTAAATGTCAGTTGCCACAACTCTGACCATTTTTCTAGTTTACCTAAATCATTTGCCATTTGGCCTATCCCTCCTGGAACATCAACCCTGCTACATATCTTAGTATCATCACCAAAAAGACATACCTTACCATCAAGACCTTCTGCAATATCACTAATAAAAATATTAAAGAGAATGGGTCCAAGTACAGATCCCTGAGGTACCCCACTGGTGAGACCATGCTTTGAATATACTCAATTGACTACAACCCTTTGTTGTCTGTTACTCAGCCACTGCCTTACCCATTCAACAATATTTGAATCCAAACTTAAAGATTGCAGTTTATTTTAAAAGCCTTCTATGTGCAACAGTGTCAAAAGCCTTACTGAAATCTAGGTAAGCAATGTCTACTGCACCACCCTGATCTATTATTTTAGTTACCCAATCAAAAATAGATTAGTTTGGCAGGATCTCCCTGAAGTAAACCCATGTTGTCTCTGATCTTGAAATCCAAGTGATTTTACATGTTCAACAATCCTATCCTTTAACATGGTTTCCATTACTTTCCCCACTACTGAAGTAAGGCTTACTGGCCTATAGTTGCCAGACTCCTCCCTACTACCTTTCTTGTGAATGGGCACAACATTCGCTAACTTCCAATCTTCTAGGACTATTCCTGTTAACAATGATTGGTTAAATACATCTGTTAATGGTTTTGCTAGAACACCACTAAACTATTTTAATAACTTTGGGTGTATTCCATCAGGTCCCATTGACTTATTTGTCTTTACTTTTGACAGTTGAAATAGAACCTCTTCCTCTGTAAACTCACATGTAACAAATGACTCATTTGTCCTTTTTCCTAACTGAGGCCCCTTTCCTTCATTTTCATCTGTAAATACTAAACAAAAATATTTAATTGAGGCAGTCAGCTAGACCTTTATCCTCTTCTACATACCTTCCTCTTTTGTTTTTAATCTAAGTAATCCATATTTTACTTTCCTTTTCTCATTTATCTATCTAAATATATAAAAAATGTTGTGTCCCCCTTTTTTTTTACTGACTGTGCTATTTTCTCTTCTGTGTGTAATTTGGAAGCTCCTATAACTTGCTTAGCCTCTTTCTGCCTAATCTTATAGATTTGTCTATCTTCCTCACTCTGTTTTTTTTTTTAGAATTACTAAATGCTAACTTTTTGGTTTTTTACTATTTTGGACACATCTGCAGAGTACCACAGTGCTTTCTTAAATTTTTTGTTTTTACGGACAAGCCTAATGCAATTTTCTGTTGCCTTCAGCAGAGCAACTTTTAAATAATCCCATTACTCTTGGACTCCAGTCTGATAATGACTCCTTTACACATATTCTAATTTTAGAAAAGTCTGTTTTTCTAAAGTCTAAAACTTTTGTTTTTGTGTGGTGTGACTCAGTCACTGTTCTTATATTAAACCACACTGACTGATGATCACTGGGTGCTAAACTTTCACCTACAGTAATATCTAATACCAAATATCCATTTGTTAACACTAAATCTAGTATGGCCTTTTTATGAGTTGGCTCCTCAATGACTTGTTTTAGAGACAATCCCAGTAGGGAGTTTAGAATATGAGTGCTCCTGGCACAAGCAGCTATGTTGGTTTTCCAGTTCACATCAGGAAGATTAAAGTCACCCATGATGATAACTTGCCCCTTCATGGTAATTTTAGCTATTTCCTCAACTAATAGATTATCCAACTCTTCTATTTGTCCTGGGGGCCTATAAATCACACCTACACGAGTTACTGTGTGATTTCCAAATTCTAACGTAACCCAAACGAACTCTATGTTCGCCTCATTAACTTTTATTTGGCTAGATTTATGCTATCCTTCACATACAGGGCCCCTTTCTTGCCCTTCCTGTCTTTTCTATATAAAGAGTACCCTAGTATTGCTATGGTCCCAGTCATTTTTCTCATTATACCATGTCTCAGTAAAAGAGACAAAATCTACATTATCAGTTTCCATTATTGCCACAAGTTCATGGATTTTATTATCCTTCACATACCCCTCTCCTTTCTTGCCCTTCCTGTCTTTTCTACATAAAGAGTACCCTGGTATTGCTATGTCCCAGTCATTTTTCTCATTTTACGATGTCTCAGTAACAGAGACTAAATCTACATTATCAGTTGCCATTATTGCCACAAGTTCATGGATCTTATTCCCTAAACTGCAAGCATTTGTAGACATGATTCTAAGCTTATCATTTTTTACACACTTGCTACAGGCACATTCTGTCCTTGTTTTGGGGGGCAATTGGATTGATGTTTATCACCCTTTTGACCACCCCCACCCCCTAAGTTGAAATACATCCTAGCAAAAATTCCGAAACTGCTCACTGAGAACATTTGTTCCCTTTTGAGAAAGATGCAAACCATCTTTTTTGTACTGTTTATTTCCACTCCAAACAGAGCTACCATGAGAAATAAAGCCAAATCCTTGCTCCCGACACCATTCACCAAGCTGCAAGTAAAGTCCCTAATACACATCCGCCTGTAGTTCTGAGTGTTATGCACAGGCAGAACTTCAGAAAATGACAGTGTGGAAGCGACCTGTTGTTTATCATTGGCAAAAACACAAAAAACGTCCTTTACCTCTGAAACCTCATTGCTAGCCAAGTCATTTGTCCCTAGATGGACAAGTACATCCAATTCCCCTTCCTGCTTTGCTCACTTAACAATATTACAAATACGTCTCCTGCCTCTGTGAGCAGTATCTCTGGGAAGACATCTCACAAGACCACTATTGTCCAGCTCCACACCTCTTATGATAGAATCCTCCAATAATTTCTTTCTATTAGGCCTCACCATAGTCTCGGTGCCGGAGAATTTATCCACAACTCCACTACACTCGGTGCCTGAGCTTGTCTCCATAACACCACTACTCTCAGAAAAGGCATGGAGACAGGTGGGGAAGGGGACAACTTAAATAACACCGAGAAATATTTGCGCATTTTGCCCCTTAATGGCTGAGGGTCAGCCACAATCCTATAATTACATATTAGCCTATTTTCCTACTCATATTTCCCCCCCAGCTAATTTATTTTTCAGCCCCCCTTTATTATTATGCCTCTCTATTTCAGTTGTCCCCTTTCCCACCTGTGTCTATGCCTTTTCTCTCCTTACTATTCTACCTCTTTTCTAAATTATCTCTGTCAATCAATCCTGCTTCACCTTTTTTGTACATGTCTAGTGGTCGGTACTTTTCATTTTATCTGAAAAATCCAAACCGAAAATATCAAAAATTTTTGTCTGAAATAAATTGACTAATGGGCAAAATTAATTTCAGATGATCTGAATTTCCACTGTGCACAAGTCTATTTCCATCAGTCTTCGTCTCAGAATTTCTCCATCTTTCCTTCCTTGGTCTTTCTTTCAGACTATCCCCTTCTTTCAATTCTTACTCTGTTACAGGCTCTTACTTCTACTAATATATGCCTCTGTGTAAGAATACACAAGGGTAAGGAGGGAAATAGTCTCTGTGGTATAAGTTAGGCTATGCATCTGGGCTAGATAAAGTTCTAAGTGGGATACAGTAGGAAACATGTTTAAGAAATGAGGCACCTAAAAGACCTTTGTTTTTGAAGCCCATGGAGCAACACAGGAGGGGAGTGGGCCTTGACAGGGCCAGAGAGTTGGCAGGTGAAGTTAAGGTCAAGGGGTGTGGAAAAGTAATGTCTGGACAGGGGGGGAGGAGAATAAGGGTTTAAATAACAGCCATTTTGGTGAACTGGCCTTTTTAATCAAAATCACACTTACTTGATACTTGTCCCGCCCACCCTCCCTTTGTGTTAGGTTGTCTTGTTTGGTAGGTAGTTTCCCGTTTGGTCACAGCGGCGGGAATAGGGCCTGGGTTAAAGAGGATTTAGGTGGAATAGGAAGTGGGCAGGCCAAGGTCTAGGCTGGACTATGCCGGAGTGGAAAATGGTTTGTAGGTTCTAGCTCGTTGGTGGCTACGAATCTGGGGGTGTAGGGGTGTCTGGGTACACCCCTACAGTTAAACATATGGTTATGGGGCCTCTTTGGTAGGCCATGGGTTAAACGTTATGTATTATTGGAATGTTTTATTATGTTATTTGGTAGGGTCATTGTCGGGGGTATTGGGCAAGAAGGTCGGACATAATTAATACTTGTGACAATGACCCTAAATTGTTAAATTGTTGAATTAAAATTTTTAATAAAGCTGTGGACTTTATACTCCAACAGAAATGGTGTCACAGAGTTATTTTATTAAGGTTTTAGCACATGCCGAATAACGACTGTGCACATGTCATGTTTTTTTTGTTTTTTTTAAGAATCCAGTGGACTTTCTGGCTTACAAAGAGAGAGAGAAACCTATGCATTACATTAGGCAAGTCAGTTCTTATTTGTTGTATTATTTCTAATAAAAAGCACATTTTCTGGGCACAGGTTTTCAATCATTAATCCTAATGAAGTATATGCTGTCAGTACAGGGAACACAAAGTGGGTAATTTTCATTCATCATTCTGTTACAAGCAAATAAAACATAATTTCGATGTCTCTTTAATTAGAATTGCAACACATTTATAGAACACGAAAACACGGCTGTTCCCCTCAGTCTGTGCCTGCCCTACTCCTTGTTAACAACACTGGTCAAATGGCAAAGGCTTTGCTAGTGTTCATCTCTGAAGAGAATCCAGCTCGTGTCAATCTTCAGCTCATTTCACACATAAATTAATTTCCCATAATGCTCTCTCTGTCATTAGACTATTGGTTCTACACCCTATATTCCATGGAACAAAAATGTGTATTTGGTGATACCCTGCCTAGACCTGGACATTTGCAGGGTTATTCACTAACTCCCCCCACCCCCGGTTTAATCTGAATAAAAAAAAAACTGAGGCCAAAATAGCTCTTCTGGAAAAATACTCCGACTCTGCTATAGCCAGAAATGTATATTTTAACCATTTGGAATTAATTAGCAAACATGTGGAGTTTTGTGTCTCGCCCTCTGTGTGTGCAGGCTGTATGTAAAATATGTGTTTCTCTGGTGGGTATATTGGTTGTATGTTTTTGTCTGTGTCTGCACAAAAACATCAAGCACAAGTAACAGTAATCAAACATAGATATAGTCCCAATCATGTGTTAGTGCCTGGAGTTACCCTCTTTTAAACTTCTTTTTTTGTAAACCAGTGCAGCAAGTTAAAAACAATGATACATGTCATAATACAGCAGCAGCATTATTATAGTAACCTTAAAGAAGCATAACAGCGCTCACCCCCCCAAAAAAAAACAAAACCACACCATATCTCTAATCCTCTGATTAAGGAGAGCTACCAAGTAAAAAAGTGGAACTCTCCTCAGCAGAGAGCATGTAAGGCAACCATCTATCAGACAGCATAGTCATAGTCAGGCTAGGATTTATGTATTATAGAGGTGAGGCTGTGTGCGTGTCATTAATTTTAGCGGTTACCTCCTGCAGATAAGGGAATTCTGTCTGCAACCATTTGGAAACCACAGCCCTACTACAGGCCGCCATAGTGCCCTTATTGTAGAGTTTCTGCTGGTGAGTGGGGAACCCATCCAGAGGTTCTGAAAATGCCAATGAAATACAAAGGTGAAGAGGTTTTGGGCAGAGTGCCAAGAGCATACTACCTTGGAACAGGACCACCACGTGTGTAAAAAAGTGTCTTTGTTGCCACATAATCTCCAACATAAATCTGTGGTTGACTTCCCAATGTGCAATGACTGGGGTGGTGAGCCTTTTCAATCAACTCATTAGGAATGTTTTCTACTGGTCCTAAGCCAATCATCCTTAATCTATAATGCTAAAGTCCACAAGCTCCAACCCGGCGCCATCTATTATCACAACGCAGGCAACCACGTAAACCAACACCGTTTTTATATGGATATAAGATGGTAATTCCAAAAAGCCATTCACATGGAGAAAGTTAATCAGCAGTGTTTCTATGGAAAGTTTAAAATCTATTGCTGATGATGATGAATGCCACATAGACTGACAGTTTTATAAATGTAATAATGCATTATACAATCTATTTTTACACTGAATCCTTCTCCCCATTGGAAAGCCAAGCGCTTTAGCGTACATTCGCAGATTTAACTGAATTGGTAGCTGAATAATAGATATCCTATTCAATGTAATAATACTGAGTTTATTTGTCTTTGAAGAAAAAAAAGCCCAGAAGACTCAACCAAGAAGAGAACATGTGACAATTACGTTTGAACATTTTCTGCAGTTGATGCATTAACCAACTGAACTATCTTACCAGCTGATGCTGCATGCACAGTTTCTTGGAAAAAAAAGTCTTACGTCTCACAAAAATGTAGGTGGATATCTCAAACATCAAATTATGTATGAAAACCTTGCTAGCTAATTGAATGCATGTTTTAAAGTGATATAGTGAATATTCAGGTGACTTACGTTTTTCTTGCAATGAATCATGTGGTACTTCTCCTTGGGGGCTCTCCTCAATGTCACCATAGTGTAGAACCTTGTGATTAGGTGATAGTCGGCAATACCAAAACTTATCTAAGACAAAAAAGACACAAAACAAATATACATGAAATGATCAACGTTATATTCAGCATCTTTATCGTTATTCTAGCATTCAATTACATTAATCTGCATTGAATGCATGTGAGCTTTATTTGCATACTTGTATCTTTGCCATACTTTGAGTACTCATTATGAATTTCATACTGGGAATGAAGGTTACTGAATATTTATTCTGACAAACAATATGCACTCAATGATATATTAAATCTCTGACTTGTCCATTTCTGATTGACTAGCTGTCATATTACCGAGACTTACATATATATATATACAATTCCTAATCACAACTTTCTTTAAGGAAAATGAATGGATACATCTACATATGATTCAGAAACAAAAAGACAAATCTAGAATATGGAAGCTTACAAAATGTTTAGAATCTGCAAAAGTGCTGAAATAATAGTGTTGTTACCCTAAATTTTTGGCGGAAGATGTATCAGGGTAAAAGGTAAACTTCTGGATGCAAACTGCTAAATATCAAATGCTGTTCTATTGGTTCCCCTGGTGACTGCTCTTTACTCGGTGCTCTGTCCATAATAGCATATAGTTTGCCTTTCTAAAGCTCTCCCATAGTGTAGCCAATGCACAGGAACTTACAGAGGTACAAGTTAAACCCACCACTTAGCAATAGCAGTACATGATGAAAGCAAAATTTGCAGCAGGCAAACATTTGGTAGAGTTATTTAAACCTACTAGCGATCTAATATTGATATACATGAATTAAATATGAGTAGTATATGTCAATACCGCAAAAGCCTAATGAGAATCAAGACCAGGATGTACAAAGCACTAACATTTGGCAGTTGTGTCAGAATTATGGCAGCTGTGGCAGAATTGATATCTTCAGCAGGATATAAAAAAAAAAATACTGAATTTAATTATAACTAGTACTTGTGCCAACAAACGATACGGTTTAAAAGTAAACATTTATTAGTAGTAGCAGACGGCACAGTGAAACAACTCAGATTTTCTGAGCACGTATATTAAACAATAAAAAAAATTAATTTTCTTTTCTACAAAATATTTGTTTAGTATGAGCACTTCAGTGGTGCAGATAGGTTTTAACAATTATGAAGAGTATTCATTAAAAGAACACAAAAATGTATTCCTGAACCTATAGTTAAAACACCATCTAGCCCCTTGATCCCCCCTTGCCCCACTTAATATAGTAAAATCTTAGTTTTGTTCCAGTCTGCTGCTGCTGCTGGCTCTGCCCCTGATCTGCCTGCTTGGCTGACATCATCAGACGTGGTGTTTAAAAGCCAATCACAATGCTTTCACACAAGAAAGATTGTCTTGGCTGAGCTTGTCAAGGAGGCAGGTCAGGGGCAGAACCAGCACAAGCTAAACACAGCCCTGGCCAATCAACATCTCCTCATAGAAATTCATTGAATCAATACATCTCTATGAGGAAAGTCCAGTGTCTACATGCATAGGGTAAAGTCCAGTGTCTACATGCACCGAGTAAAGAGCAGTCACCAGGGGAACCAATAGAATAGCATTTGATATTTAGCAGTTTGCATCCAGAAGTTTACCTTTTACCCTGATACATCTTCCGCAAAAAATTTAGAGTAACAACACTTTTATTTCAGCATGGCCCCAGGCAGCACCTCTATCAGCCATCTGAGGAGTGGCCAGTGGCCCTAGGCTGTAATGTGAACACTGCATTTTGTCTGAAAAGACAGTGTTTACTGCAAAAAGCCTGAAAGGAATGACTATACTCACCAGAACAAATACAATAAGCTATAGTTGTTTTGATGACTGTATTGTCCCTTTAAGCCTTCACCAGATGAAACCTTCACTTGGCATGCCATTGAATCTGGTGGAGTTTGTGAAGCCGCTCTACTGACTTAATCCAAAGTCTCTATACATTCTAGTTATTCTGGTGTCCCTTTAACTTAGCATATGTTTTTTTAGTGAATCAAATTTGCCTGAAAAAATACAATTCATTTTTTGCATTTCTCAGCGTTCCTTGGGTTAATATTTTTAATGATTACCTTCCTTTTAATGTAGTAAACAGAAAAAAAAATACAAGAGTAAAAAAAGACATTATATTCTTCAGATAAGGTAAATAGAGCGTTTCCATTCCTACTAGGCACTAACACTAATTCAGCTCAGAAAGATAAAGCTACTTAGAGGAATGTGGCAATTTGTACTTCAAATAATGAAATACAAAGGCTCCTTCGCACTATTAATATGAACAAATATTCAGATAGAGAGATGTAAATATGTGTTTTTAAAAAAAAAAATCAAATTTTTATTTAATATTAATGAGAAGGATTAATGGATTCTAAATTATAGGATAGTCTTACTTTGCACCGTAACCAAGCAATCAGACAATGCAGATAAAAAAACACCCAGCATGCATCTGCTTGGGCCTTTCACACCAACACAATGAGAGTTTTACAGCATTACAAGAGCCACCATTTATTTTATACGGTTTGCTTTCTTACTTATGTTTGTTCAAGACACATTCATTAAACTGGAAGAAATCTACAAAGAAACATTGTTTGGGGAGTAATTAGTCTTATGATCTTCAAACACATGAAAAGATAAATCAAAAGAAAAGAGCGAGAGGCAGGGAATGCTGAGAGAGATTGCTCAAGGTGACCCCAAGGTGTAGATGGGATAATATGTAATCGCTGATAATAGCACCCAGAGTTGATTTAGGATTTGAAACTGAATACATTATTACATCTTGATGGAATTCAGCAGTGAGACTTCAGGGGCATGATCTATAAGCAAAAACTGCTTAATGAAAGGGACACGCCAGGCACCAAAGCAACTTCATCTAAATTAAGTTGTTATGGTGCCAGGAAGCCCCTGCAGGCACTCTTACCTCAAGCGGATAAACCGTTCTCAAACTGTTTAACCACTAAGTTCCCTTCACTCCTTCCAGCCTCATCCAGCTTCAGAATTTTCACTTACAAAAAGCTCAAAGTACTTCCTATAAAGTACGTTTTTTTCCTAGGCAGTTTAATGAATGGGGAGTTACTGATTGGCTGAGAGCGTCAGCCGGGGAGGAGCAGAGACGGGTGCTGGAGAAAACTTAGGGGTTCGAAAATGGTTTAACCTCTTGAGGTAAAAGTGCCTCCAGGGGCCTGTGGCACCATAACAACTTCATTTAGATAAGGTTGTTTAGGTGCCAGGAGTGACCCTTTAAGCCAAAGTAGTTCGACTATACTTTCCCTTCAAGATGATGGATGCATGTATATTAACTGAGAATCATAAATGAATCAAATTAAGTGAAAACAGTACAGGTTGATTTCGTGTTGAGGGCAACTTTGCAGAACACAACATTTTGATAAATCTCTCCCAATAATAAATTTGTATGCGCCTTCTTTAACCACCTTCCAGCTTTTATAATGTGAGGATTTATATAAATGTATCTTGCTCTATCCCTTGCCTGAAGCCTGCAACCTAATTAGTAGAAATGTGTAGCAATAATGATGAAGGGTGCCCAGCCTGCCTATCCCAACCACCATGCTCCCAGATATCGAACTGCATGGTTGTTATATTTGCAAATGAATAACATCAAAATGCAAGTGTTCTTGCAAAAAGCTCATAAAACATAACTTCCTATTTCATTTAAAATAAAAATAAATATATATATATATAAAATTTCTTCCGCAATAAATGGAGAAGTTATCTTCTGGAAAACCTTGGGTGCCGGTATTTTCACTTTGTTTATATATATGAATGTGGCTTTTCTCCTTCGACATCATTAAATATGAGTGATCGTCCTGGGATATATTTCATGCTCCAGATAGCAATGAACATTTATATTTAAAGTACGGCTGAGCTTGCGGTCTTCACTTAATACTGTAATATGACTGTAAAATTGGGAACATTCAAAGATCTCTTAGGGGCGCCTTCTATACTCCCCATGGCTTTGGCAATGATGGAAATTTGCCAGCATAAAATGGAATATTTAAAATTGTGTATAACCAAACTAAATTCATGGTTGAACATTTAAGAGCATATGGATAAACAGCTCCTAGTTTCCATAAAAATCCATTAGGAAAGTACTTAATCGTACACTGACATGGATAATGGTCCATCTTGATAATTTGGCAATTACATTTAAAATAAATTAATTAATTAATTTAAATTTTTTTTAATAATAATATATAAATATATATAAATAAATAAGTCGTCCACGGGTCAATTTCAATGATTTCCAGACATTTTTAAAATGGAAAAAAATTATTTACTATTTGGTCACCACACTACATGCAATAAGTAGAAAAAAAAAAGGCACAATAATATTTCTAGCATCTGACTTAGATGACTCGCATCGTTATCACAGTATATTATGTATAATTATACAATATATGTGAATGCAAAAATGAAGAACGAACATAACTCACAAACTGAAAAAAACTGGAACTGAATGTATGCTTGTTATGTATGTTTTTACCAGTTTCCTCCTGAAAATCCTCAGATTGCATTAGAGATGTACCTAGAGTATGTTGCCCTCACTGGCACTCCCACTCCTGTTGGCAGCCAAAGCACCATAGACACCACCAGGGACGTATTAACATAGGGGCTGATGGAGCTGCAGGGTTGCCAGGTATTTCTCATGTATTTCTTATGGTTGCCAGGTATTTCTCAGGCATAAATGTCTGTCTCAGTATAAATAGAGATTATTCTGCAATACCAGTGCCGACCAGTAGGGTCGCTGTATGTGTGGAGAGAGGCAGGGATAAGAAGTTACAGCATCTCCCTCCCTGCCTTCTCTCTACTCACTGATCCGCGGGGGAGCAGCTCTGCACAGAGAGTCCAGACAGAAGCTCCGAGCCAGCGAGACATGGGGACGGTGAGATACTTGGGGACGCTGAGACATTGGGACACTGGGAGACATAGGGACACTGGGGAACATGGGGACCCTGAGACACTAGGGACACAGTGGCCCCATGTCTCCCAATGGCCCCTAGTCTCTCAGTGTCCCCATTTCTCCCAGTGTCCCCATGTCTCAGTGTCCCTAGTCTCCTAGTCTCTCAGTGTCCCCATGTCTCTCCCAGTGTCCCCATGTCTCATAGTGTCCCAATGTCTCTAAGTGTCCCCTAGTTTCCTGGAGACTTGATAAAGACCTGGGTACAGGTCAAAATGTTTTGGTGTCCAATAAACCTGCTTAAATCTCCCAGTGATTGCCTAAGATTTTTTCTTTAATACTAGGGGACACTGAGACACTAGGAGACATGGGGACACTGGGAGACATTGGGACACTGAGGCACTGGGAGACATGGGGACACAGACTAAGGGACAATGGGAGACATGGGGATACAAACACTAGGGGACACTGAGTGGCATGGGGACACTGGGCGACTTTGAGACCTGGGAGACATGGGGCACTCCCAGTGTCCCCATGTCTCCCAGCCATTGTCCCTAGTATTGCAGAATCCCCATGTCTCCCAGTGTCCCTAGTGTTTCAGTGTTTCCTAGTCTCCCAAAGTCCCCTAGTCTCCCAGTGTCTCAGTGTCCCAATGTCTCCCATTGTCCCCATGTCTCCTAGTGTCTCAGTGTCCCCTAGTATTAAAGAAAAAATCTTAGGCAATCACTGGGAGATTTAAGCAGGTTTATTGGACACCGAAACGTTTTGACCTGTACCCAGGTCTTTATCAAGTCTCCAGTGTCCACTACTTGGCGACTTTGAGATCTGGGAGACATAGGGCACTCCCAGTGTCCCCATGTCTCCCAGCCAGTGTCACTAGCATTTCAGTATCCCCATGTCTCCCAGTGTCCCTGGTGTCTCTGTGTCCATAGTATCTCAGTGTCTTTAGTGTCTCAGTGTCCCCACGTCTCACAGTGCCCCCAAGTGTCTGTGTCCCAGTATAAAAAATCTCAGGCACTCACTGTGAAATATTTAAGCAGGTTTATTGGACACCACACCTTTTTGGTCTTTATCAAGTCTCCAGTGTCCACTATATATTCCAGTGTCCCCTATGTATCACAGTATCTCAGTGCCCCATGTCTCCCAGTGTCCTCTTGTGTCTCAAAGTCACCCAGTGTTCCCATTTCTCAATGTCTCCCAGTGTCCCCAGGTCTCCCAGTGTTCCCTGGTATCTCAGTGTCCCCATGTCTCCCAGTGTCCCAATGTCTCTCAATGTCCCCTAGTGTCCTAGTGAGATGGGGATACTGGGAGACATGGGGACACAGACACTAAGGGACTTGGAGACATGGAGACACAGACATTCCCCTATTTTGTGTATGTTCGCCCCTTTTGGCAGTTCTGGTTATGTGATTTGTCTCAGTGGCCCACCCTTTTACCCTATCCATATACCTCCTGCTTTACTGGACACTGCTGTTAGGGAGTATGGGTTTACTTGAAAGTTGAAAGAGTGAGATTAGCATAGGGTATGTGTTTTCTCATAGCTGCATCCTATGAGTTTCCCTTCATCACCATCTCCATCAGATACATGACGTGTAGGAGGTAGGACTGTTTTAGTGTTTTTGGTCAATAAGATTTTGTAATAAGGCCCATCATAATTGTCAGCACCAGGCCCACTGGGCTCTTAATCTGGCCCTGGACACCACAGCATATTGTATTGGTTATGGTACAAGGAAGCTATGGGAACCAAATCATACCTCTTTGAGTAGTACAACATAATTTGTATCACCTTTCCCCTTCTGTTTCCCGCTCCTTCTGTCACCCAATTTTGTCGCTCTCTGCAGCCCTCCCCACTTAGGTCTCTCCTCTGCTCATTTACGATATGTTTACCTCCACATTAATTTCCTGCTTGACCACCGCCAACCCTCTTGTATGTATCTCCCTCCACCACCCTAGAGGAGCCTGTATACCCTCTTCCAACGTCCTGCTTGACTGTGCTACAGTATGGACTGAAAGCACCCCTCTCCTAGTTAACACCTGGGGTGAACGACCTCCGTCCTCCCCCATTAGTATGTTACCGAATGGCTTTTTTGTGTACTTAGTTGCATTTGATGGTTATTAAGGCAATATGGTGTAACAGTTTTTCAGACTGTGACATCATGAACTGGTGTGTTTTAGGAACAAATACAAGACCTTTGACCTCACGGTTTATTTTGAGGTCTATAGAACCATTCAATGGCATTATTTTCGATAAAACATCACAAACATTTTGTATTGTCTATCTTAAACAGGGTAGTTCACAAAGCAGCAAATTTTAACAAATTAAATAAGACTGGCAAAACTGAGGCCAATATAGCCATACTGTGACAAAAGTCGAATTGGAGAATTGTTTCGAACCAACTATTTTAGCCTCCGGTTTGCCATCCAGATTTAATTCACTGGAATTTGGCGTTCACAATACACATACAGGGATATTCACTACAGAGACGGTTATATACACACAGGATGCAGAGAATACAAACACACAGAATGTAGAGAAGGCAGTTGCCATGACCAAAATAACCGTTCAGATTTGACTTACACTAAACATTTCTATTGAGGGAAAAAAAAAAAGACATTTATTTTAACTTTTATGGTATCTATTCATTATTCTTCTTATCTGCTTTCTTGCCTTCTGCACTTTTAAAATGCCTGTCAAACCAGTATCTCTTGTCCAATTCTAATTAAAGGAAAACTTTGCTTGTAGTCAGAGGGTGGATAGAACAGATCTGTGGCCTGACATGTCACACAGGGTTACTCATGTTAATATTTACACAATTCAATTTCCTTTCATTCCGCAACATCAGTGAGAAAAGAATACAATAAATGGGGATAGGGGGAGGATGCTCTCATACTGACTTTGAAAGGAGGAAGAGGTGAGCTTCTACTTCTTTCCATAGGATTATTTGAAGTATATAGGATTTATGATAAAGCTTTTCATAACCAAGACTGTCGTTAAAGGGAAAGTGGACTGCTGGGATTAATAAGTCGATTTATTGTTCTAGCAGAGTTTTAAATAAGGAGACAAATGCTTTGGTAGGTATAGAAAAATAAAACATCGTAAAAAGCCACTTACAAGATATTTATTTAGATTTATACGGTCATTGTCACTTTAACTGTTATATTTCTTAATGCTACAGAAATTACCTATAATTTTGCAGGTGTTTAAAACCCTTTTTTCTCCTCCTTTTTCTTTTTTTTTTTTAAAACAAAGAAATCGTACATAGCATACAATCTGAAGGAACCTGAAGGAAAGCCCAAGGCACAGCTCGAAGCTGTGAAATAAACTGTCAAGTGAAGAGACATGGGAAGAAAAACAATGGAACAAATTCTAAATTCTCATATTTAATTTACCACTGTCTTATTTCTTTTTTGGGGGAGACTGGAATCTAAAATGTTTGAGGACATGTAGAGTAAGTCAGATAGAATTAAGGGAACACTATCGTCACTAGAACCACTACAGTGTAATGTAGTAGTTCTGGTGTCTATAGCCTGTCCCTGCAGGCTTTTCAATGTAAACACTCCCTTTTTAGAGAAAATACAGTGTTTCCATTGTTCCCTAATTACACCTCTAGGTTTAGTCAATCAGACAGCCACCAGAGGCCTTTCTGTATTTCAGTCCTGCAATATTTACAGGACCTATTATTATTATTTTAATATTTATATAGCGCCATCAGATTTCATAGCGCTGTACAATGGGTGGATTAACAGACATAGAGAATAGAGTCAGCGCTAATATATTGGAGAGAGATACAAGAGGCAGCAATCCCAAACAAGGACTCCCTCAAGTGACCTTGGGATAAATACAAAAGACAATCAAATAGAAGGATGGGACTGCGCCAATAGACAGAAATGAAAAGTCCTTATTAAAATATGGAAATAAAGTCCAAATGTAATAAAAAACTTGGTATTATGTTCGTCTCTGTAGTTTTGTTCCTTCCTGGTATATGAAGGAGGGTGATGAATGATGAGGTGGTGTGGAGTGATCCAACGGGTATCCAAATGAAAAAGAAGAGGTAATACTCACTTTTAGTAGAGCTTAATCCAGCTCTGGTGTGGATGGCTTGCAGCGGTATTATCCCCGCTTATAGGATATATGGTGAGCTTCCTCTTCAGTATGATGACCGGCAACCAGGTAGAAGATGAAACGAAAAAGCAATAATAGTGCAATATGTCCCAAAAAGTAGATAAAAGGTATAAAAAATATAAAAGATACACTCACATTTAATAGAGCTTATACTAGCTCTAGTGTAGTAGGCATGCAACGGTATGATCCCCCGTATCTGGGATATGCGGTGAGCGTTCGTTAGTACAGTTCTTTAGGGTGGTAGCAGGAGCTCAGGAAGAAGATAATAAAACAGCAATAGTGCTCTCAGTAAAATAATGCTGATTAATAAAATAAAATAAAATATACTCACAGTATATAGGGCAGACTAACTGCTCTATGGTATAGGTGCGGGTGGTATGATCCCCACCTCAGGATATGTTGGAGTATTGACGACAATAGATAAAAAAGCCAGGTATTTTAAAATAAAAAATAAAAATAAATAAAAGATAGTGGTACAAGAGAATAAAGTGACCAAAATCTATTTATTGACAATAATTTAAAAAATATATTAGTATAATATCCAAACGCGTTTCACCAATATAGGCTTTATCAATGGATTAAAAAACATGGTTTTTAATCCATTGATAAAGCCTATATTGGTGAAACGCGTTTGGATATTATACTAATATATTTTTTAAATTATTGTCAATAAATAGATTTTGGTCACTTTATTCTCTTGTACCACTATCTTTTATTTATTTTTATTTTTTATTTTAAAATACCTGGCTTTTTTTATCTATTGTCGTCAATACTCCAACATATCCTGAGGTGGGGATCATACCACCCGCGCCTATACCATAGAGCAGTTAGTCTGCCCTATATACTGTGAGTATATTTTATTTTATTTTATTAATCAGCATTATTTTACTGAGAGCACTATTGCTGTTTTATTATCTGTTTTATTATCTGTTTTTATTATCTTCTTCCTGAGCTCCTGCTACCACCCTAAAGAACTGTACTAACGAACGCTCACCGCATATCCCAGATACGGGGGATCATACCGTTGCATGCCTACTACACTAGAGCTAGTATAAGCTCTATTAAATGTGAGTGTATCTTTTATATTTTTATACCTTTTATCTACTTTTTGGGACATATTGCACTATTATTGCTTTTTCGTTTCATCTTCTACCTGGTTGCCGGTCATCATACTGAAGAGGAAGCTCACCATATATCCTATAAGCGGGGATAATACCGCTGCAAGCCATCCACACCAGAGCTGGATTAAGCTCTACTAAAAGTGAGTATTACCTCTTCTTTTTCATTTGGATACCCGTTGGATCACTCCACACCACCTCATCATTCATCACCCTCCTTCATATACCAGGAAGGAACAAAACTACAGAGACGAACATAATACCAAGTTTTTTATTACATTTGGACTTTATTTCCATATTTTAATAAGGACTTTTCATTTCTGTCTATTGGCGCAGTCCCATTCTTCTATTTGATTGTTTTTTGTATAATACGAGTGTTGCTTGACAGCCCTTACTGCTACATCTGTTACCAATCATTCTGTATCAACACACGTACAATGTAACATACTAAAATAAGAAATCACAACTAAACAAAAGAAATAGGAGTGTGAAATAAAAGAGCAGACAACGTTCTCCATATATATTGCTGTTCAGTTCAGTATCTACAGTATTGTGGTGGTATGATATGTTGCACTACAACCTGAAAGGGCAAAAGTACCTTGGGCATATCATCTCCTTATTCAAGTGGAATCTGTTCAAACATTCACCCACCCGTCTGTCTCAAATCTGGAATTGTGCCCTGCAAGCCTGGAAATTTCCTTGCAGTATTTAGTTTTACATATCAGTTTCTTTACTCCCTCTACCGTGGCTGTCCGTGCATTCCAAGGGGTAGCTAGCAGTTGTTGGTTTTTTTTGCTGCTAATTGGATATGTGACGTAATAGACTCAGGGTAGATGTGCAGTATCATTACTGCAGGGTTTTTTGGAATCACCTGTCATATTAGTAAATAACTTTGAGCCCAGACGCCTTCCAACCTTTTACAGTGCTAGAAAATATGATTGGGGACCCCTGTCTTTTCTGCACCTTCAGCACGTTCGTGATGTGCCCGGGTATATATGTTTCCATTTCACGAGGGTCAGGTACCACCCGAGCCAAATTTTACATGCTGCTTCTTTATGGGATATACAGTGCGTTGATCGTTTTAACATCCGCATTGCTTTGTGCCATTCTTGTACCTCCAAAGTGTTATTTCATTCCTCCTCCCATTGGCGCATATATGATAATTTTTTCTGGGGAGCATTTGCTTCCTGTTTGCACAGGAACCCCCGAACAGAGACCGGTCTTTGCACCCATTTCCCTGGAACTGTTTTGGGCTTTCACCTCGTGGCTGGATGGTGTTTTTTTTATTTTTTTATTTAACCCCCCAGCCTCCTTACTTTTGCTGGGGGGGTTCTTCCTCTCCCTGGGGTCTTGGGGTCCAGTGGCTGCAGGGCGGGCGGCCGGCGAGGGAGCTCTTCCCCTGAGCGCTCTGCTCAGCTCCCTCGCGCGCCGCCAGCAGAGTGAGGCCGAGCCGAATATGGCGCCAGCCTCGGCATACCTAGCTATTATGAGGTTAACAAGGCATTTGCCCCGGGCATTTGGGAAAATGTCACCAAGGCAAATGCCTTGTTTGCCCTTGCTGCCACTGCCTCCTATACACACACACTACTGCCCCAGAGACACACACACAGCATCCCCAGTCACACACAGCACCCTGTGATACACACACAGCACCCCAGATACACACACATCACCCCCAGATACACACATCACCCCAGATACACACACAGCATCCAAAACACACACACAGCAGCACCCAGATACACACACACAGCACCCCCAGACACACACAGCACCCCCAGACACACACAGCACCCCAGATACACACAGCACCCCAGACACACATACAGCATCCAAACACACACAGCGCACCCAAAACACACTACACAGCACCCCCTAGATACACACAGCACCCCTCTAGACACACACACAGCACCCCCAGATACACACACAGCCCCCCCAGACACACACATCACCCCCAGACACACACAGCACATATATATATATATATATATATATATATATATTAAATAACCCTCAGTGAGTTAACAGACAAAGAAAATTAGAAACCTAGAATGTGACGGCAGATAAAAACACCCTCACACACAGCACCCCTCTTACACAAACACACTGCGCACCTCACACATACAATACGTCCAAATATATATATATATATATATATATATATATACACACACTACAGCACCCCTCACACTGCACCACTACACACATTACGCTCCAGATACACGCTAGATCCCTTACCCTACATGCACTCTTAATCCTCTACACACATACACACACACACACACACAATCTTTTATACACACTCTGGGTCCTTTACACACTAGATCTCTTACACCTCTCTACAACCCCTACACACACTCCGTCACCTATACACACACACTACTGCCCGTATGCACACACTCGCTACATCCCCTATAACACTATGCCCCCTATACACACACTCTCTACAGCCCCTAGCCACACATATTACACCACACATATTACACCTATTTACACAATACCACACCACACTCTACACACAGGCAATCCCACAAGCAGGCTCCAAACACATGCACCATACACTTTCCTGGCCCTTTTGTCCTCTGGTATCACACTTGTGGAGACACCAGAGTCAAATTAAAAGCAAACACAGCGCAAGCATGTTATTACATTTGCTTGCGCTGTGCAGAACAAATACAGGGCAGAATACAAAATACAAATACAAAAGTCTAATGCCAGAGCTCTTCAGCGGGGCTCTGCGCATTGAACCAACATGCTCACTTTGAGAGGGGGCGTGCTTGTCAGTGATGACAAAACACACCCTCTCTGGCCCCGCCCCCTTCTTGGGGGCCGCTCTAATTGAAAAATGCCCGGGCCTAATTTTTTTCACAGTCCGGCCCTGGCTGCAGCTGTGAGGGACAGCTTAGGAAATAATTCTGCAAACTAGTACATTAGTGGGGTGGGGTGCACTTCATATCTGAGAGTCAAATAGAAGCTTCAAATACCGTGGTTAGATCGGAGGTTGTAAAAAGTCAGTTTTGTTGGTGTTAAATAGTACATTAGTGGGATAGTACATTAGTGGGGTGCACTTCATATCTGAGAGTCAAATAGAATCATCAAATACTGCTGTCACATTGCAGTTTTAAAACTTCAATTTTTTTGTGTTCTAATCTGCTAAATAGTATTTTATTGGGGTGCACTTCATATCTTTGAGTCAAATAGTGTGCTTACAGCG